GACAAAGGCTGTTCAATCTTGTGTGTGTGTCAAGGACGGTGGTCAGGTGGCCAGGCAAAGCCCCCCTCTCAGAATCACGCTTTTAAATGTATAAAATAAAATACACAGGAGCCCAAACTGTCCCTAAAGGGGGAGGCCTTTTGGGGAGGGGCCCCAGGGAGCTGAGCTCCCCTCAGCAGAGGGGGCTGTGGCAGAATGGACAACCGTCTCTGGGGGGATTGTAGTGAAATCCGGTCATCAAGTTATTTTGTCAATGGGTTCGTTAACTTGGGTCCCACGTCCTTCTCACACAAAGTCCTTCCCCCTCGAGGTTAAGTGTCTGCACTGTTCTCATCTCCTGCTGTGGATGCTGTGGTTACTTTTTCCCAGCCCTGCCTCTGTTCACCTCAGTCCTCCCATGCTTCTCTGTCATCTCATATATCCCATGCCATCAGTTTGTTGGTGGGAAGCTGCCCATCCATTTCAGCCCTATATTTCCCGGCCAGCGTCATTTCTCCCAGTTTTCTTTCCTGGTCCTTCTCTGTTGGAGTCCACCATGCCCCCGGCATCTTCGTTGTTATCACTCCAGGACTCAGCAGGTGCTCCAGTAGAATGTTAGGGAGTCCTTTGTTGCTGGGATGAGTTGGGATTCATTCAAAGAGGTGAGCTGTTTCCTGAAGGCAACCGTCCAGCCTTAATAGAAAATCATAATGATGATGGGGTGCTTTAAATTCTGCCGGGTGTTCCATAGACCTCTCACTTGACTCTGTTTTGCATTTCCATAGATGGTGGGCTTGGACTTCCCAATGGGCCAGTAGGTGATTGACAAGAATAGACAAAGCCCTCCCTTAGAGGTAGAGAGGCTGGGCTGCGGGGGACAGGGGGTGGGAAGAGTGGAGAGTGGCAACGCTGCCTCCCTCCAGCTCTTCTCTGCTGCCATTCCCCACCCCAGGCACATTGCAGGGTCCCCAGCAGAGTAACCCTGTCAGGGGGAGATGAGACAGACAGACAGACAGTCCGTCAGTGCTGGCTACGCACTTCCTGTGTGTCAAGAAATGTGCTAAGTGCTGGGGATGCAGAGAAAGGCAAACACTTGGTTCCTGCCCTCAAGAGGCTTACACTCTAAGGGGAGAGGTAGCAGTTACTCCTCCTTCTTGGCCTGGGAATAGTGGAACGCACGCCTGCTCAGCTGCTCTGCCCTTGTCTGGTCTCCATCTCTGTCCTCACAGGGGAGGGGAGGGAACACTTATTAAGCACCTACTGTATAGGAGGCCCTGTGCTAAGCACCTTATGACATTAAATCACTTCAGCCCTATGAGACAGGACCTTTTACAGACAAGTTAAGTGATGTTCCCAGAGTCACACAGCTAGTAAATTTCTGAGGCTGGATTTGAACACAGGTCTTTCTGACTCCAGGCGCAGGCCACTTCGAGGCCTAGCAATCATCACAGCACCTGGGCTGGAGGAGAAAAGAGGGCTGACAATCTCTGCTTTTGCATATTGCTGAGTCCCAGTACTTCTGGGCTTTCTCCTATGGTTCTGAGGCCAAGAGCCTCCACTGAGCAGAAGGTACAACCTCAGCGTTGCCCCTACTACCACCATGGTCTTTGCCTGCTCATTGAAGCTTATTCTCAACCCTCACCTCTTCCAGGAAGCCCTCCCTGACTCACCCCATCCCTCCCTTACCACTCACCCCCAGTCACAGAGGACTCAGAGCCCACCTGGCCTCTGCTTGGAAGCCCCCAAGCTGGGGTCCCCACCCCCCGAGGCTCTGACCATCAGGAAGTCTCCCCTGACTCCAGTTTTCATTTGCTCCCTCCACCTTCCCCCTACAGCTCCTCATTCTGACCCCTGGGGCCCAGATGAGCTGGGCTTATCCTTCTTCCCTGTGACAGCCTGTTATGTGATGTCATCCGTGTTTATTGTTATTAATCCCTGGTTTCTTCCACCCCTCCCCCCCATCTCCTGTCCTCCCAGGTTCCCTCCTCCCACTCTTTGATTTATGCTGTCCTTGATGCCCAAAAGTCCCACTCTGCTCCCCAGCCCCTGCCCGGATCCTCCCTCCTCCTAGGCTGGTCTTATCTGCCTCCTCCAGGAAGCCCTCCACCCCTAGCCCCCCCTCTCCCTACTCTGACTGGTCATGAGATCTCAGATCTAGAGATGGAAAGGAACTCAGAGGCCATTGTAACCCGCCTCTGCAAGTTACAGATGAGGAAACTGAGGCCCACGGAGGGGAAGTGACTTGTCCAAGGTCACACAAACAATTCTTCCAACTAGGTGCCAAGCTGGGCCTATGGTGGCTTGTTTTCCTCCTCCAGTGACCTGGAGCTAAGCCCAGAGCAGGGCACTGGGGAGGGGTGTCTGTGTATGTCAGTGTGTCTGTCTGTGTGTGTCTGTGAGTGTATGTGTGTGTCTGTGTGTCTGAGTGTGTGTCTCTGTGTGTGTTTGTGTATCTCTGTGTGTGTGTGTGTGTGTGTGTGTGTGTGGAGGGTGGGGGACACTCAGGAAATGTCAGGTAAATGAAAGAAAACTGCTCCACACAAAATAAAGACCCTGAACAGGCCAGGTCTGGCTTCCTCTCCGGCCAGGGACCTTGGTCAACCTTGACCAGGCAGGGAGGGTCCAGGAGGAGAGGGAGCCTTGTTCTGTCCTCATCACTCCCTCCCTCCGTCTGCCTCGTAGGGCAGGAGCCAGTAAACCTCTGCGGCTTAGAGCAGGGGCTAAATTTAGAAGAGTGCCTGAGCCAGGCCTTCCCGGATGAACCTGCGGCCAGCGGGGCCTGGAAGGGCAGGGAGGGGCTCCTGGGGCAGTCAGGCTCTGCATTCTCTCTTCCCAGGGAGTCCTCTTATCTGTCTCCTCCTCTGAAGTGTGACCGAATCCAGTGTCACCTCCCCAGGAAGACCCAGGGAGGCTTCTACGGTGCCCATGCGTGTGTATATGTGTTTATATATGAGTATGTGGTGTGCATGTGTGTGTATGTGCATGTGAGTGTGTGTGCACAAGTGCATTGTGTGTGTGCACGTGTGTGTGTGTGTGTGTGTGTGTGTGTCCTCATCACAGACGGGCCATTTCTAGGGTATCTTGTAGGTGCTCTAATGTGCCATCATTCCCACACTCTCCCTGCTTTCCTCTCCTCTCTCATGTACAAACCCCCCAGGTTCGGGGCCCTCTGTGGGTCAAACCCATTAAGACCATAGCTTTTGAGCCCCCATCGGTGTGTTCGCTTTCACTGACAGGATTTGCTGTCTGACTCCTAGTTGATCAGCGTGTGAAGGAAGTGGAAAAATACAAAAGTTCAGTAAAGAAGTCACAGTTGTTCTCCCTCCATCATCCTGGCTCCTATCCTTGCCTTTATGATCTACATCTCTCAGTAAGGAAAACCTAAAACTGGCTGCCTCACTACCTGAGAATGTAAAGGTTTGCAAAGCATTTTGTAGACATGCCCTTGGGCCTCACCAAAAAAACAAAAAAAAACCTGTTGAGTATGTTATATAGGTATAAGCCCCATTTTATAGATGAGGAAGCTGAGGCTCGGTGTCAATGAGAGGCCCAGGGTCCCACAGCTTGTCATTTAGAAGCAGGATTCTAACCCAAGTCTTCTGACCACTTCCAGCTGTTTCTATGAAAAGATTCTGTCTTGGATCCTGTCCTCTAGTACAGTGGAAAAAGGACTGCCTTCTTTAGTCAGAGGACCCAAGTTTGAATTCTGGCTCTGCTACTTCCTGCCTGATTGACTTTGGACAAGTCACTTAACTTCCTGGGTCTTGATTCCTCATCAGTGAATGACGGGGTTGGGCTAGGTCACCTCTCTGGTGCCTTCCAGAGCTCAACGGCTGAACCTAGGAGCCTCCTCAGCTGCTGTCCCATTGCAAAGGATGGACAAACCAAGCACAGGAGGATGAGGGAGGAAATGCCCCCCCCGGGTGGGAATCCACCCCCAGCAGCCTCAGTCTGCTTCTGCTGCGGTCCCCTCCCTCCTCCGGCCTCATAGAGATTCTCTGGGCCATGCGAATTCTCGTGGCCTGAGCTCAGGAGCCAGCACGGCATGGCGGAAAGACCCCCTGGCCCTGAAATCAGAGGAGCTGGGTTCACATTCTGCTTGTGGTACTTATTTCTGATGGGCCTCTGGGCCTCGGTTGCCTCCTTTGTAAAATGAGGGGTTAAATAGACAACTTCCAAGTCCCCTCTGCCATCTTGGCAGGGTCAGGATGAGGGAACAAACAACCAGGAGAATTAAAAGAGAGGCCCCAGGAAAGGTGACCTGGAGAGTGGGAGGAGAGGAGGAGGGGACTGGGGAGGCCCAGGGACAGAGGAAGACCCGAGCCACAAAGCTTGGTGCTCCCCATTCTCCGTGGCCACAAGCCTGGAGAACAAGAACTCACAGCAAGTCCAACAACTGGACACTCTTCTCCCCTGACCCAGAACCCAGGGGGAGTTGTCTTTCCTTTGGTTCCAGGCCTCGAAGGTCATTTGAGATCCTAGAAGTATCGTTTATGCTGTGGACAGGACAAGGAAGTGAGCAAGCCCGGCGAGCCTGGCATCTAGTGCCTGCTCTGCCTTTTCATCTTTGGGTGGCCTTGAGCAAAGAATCCCTGCCTCTGGGCCCAAATCTCTGCCTCCCCAGGGTGAGGTGATGGGAATGGCCCCTGAATTCCTTCTTGCTCTGTGTCCTAGGGATCCTAAAGATCAAAGCATGAAGCTAGACGGCGGACTGGGGAGTAGACCTGGGCCAGGGCCTGGAGGTCAGGCGGGAGCAGCCAGCCTGGGCTGGAGCCCTGTCTGGTCTCTCTACCCGGCAGCCACTTTGGTGAGCCCCCAGGACTTCTAAAGGATCCAAGTAGGCTCCACCTCTTGTGGGGCCCAGGGGAAGGTGGTTGATTGGGGTGGGGGAGGATGAGGGAAGGCAGGGACAGACCCTGACCCTGAGGCTGGGCCAAGCAGGGTGATCTGACCAGGCCAAGGCACAGCTGCACGTGTGGCCCTGCCTGCATGCCTGACACGCCTCCCCCTCCTTCCTCCAGGTCACCCCGCTGGGCGACGCCTCCATAGACTTGCCCCTCCGGGAGCTGCTGGGTCATTATTGCCACCTGCTGTCCACCTTCTCCAATCTCACAGGTAAGGTTCAGTAGTGCCTCAGGTGTGGGGGGGTGCCAGGTGAGACGTGGAGGGCACGCGGGTTGGCCAGGCGGCCTTGGGAAGTGGCTGGAGAGCTTCTGCATCCCTTGGGGCCCGGAGACCTGCTGCGAGGCTTCTACTTACAGCTTTTTATTCTCCTGCTCCTTGCCGACCCTAAGCCTCGGGCTTGGGGAGGGAGGCTAGTGCCAGATCCCCGAACAGACAACAAACGTGGGGCGGGGGTAGGGTGACGGCGGTCCTTGGAGCCTGAATTCGAAGCTCCTCCTTAATCATGACAGATGGCAAAGGGGAGCCGCCCGTGGTGGGGTTGGGCCAGGCCCCGTCCCTGGTTCTCTGGTCTTGCTGTTGTAATTGTCGTGGTCACTGGCGGTAGTTGTTCTCCAGAAGTGACCCACTAGGCGGGGCATTCCGGGTTTTCTGGTGGCTGCTTTTCCTCACCAGCCCTGCGGGGGGGGGGGGGTGAAAGGTGGTCAGGAGAGCTGGTGATGTGTGGCCATCCGTCCACCCACGGCCATGGAGAGCTTTACTGCTTGAGGACAGCCTCGGAGGGCTCAGCAGCCTCCTCCGTCAGGGTGTGGTCAGGGGGCGACTTACCTTGGGTTTGGAGCAAGGACACAATGGCTCAAGGCTTAGTTCTTCTACCTGCTACGGAAACCCACTTATCCTTCTGTCAGTCAATAAGCATTTATTAAGCACCTACTATGTGCCAGTACCAAGTGCTAGGGGTACCACAAGAGGCCAAAGATGGTCCCTGCCCTCAAGGGGCTCACAGTCTAATGGGCGAGACAACAAATATTTGCAAACAAGTTACATACAAAATAAAAAGGAAATAATTAAGAGAGAAGTCACTAGAGTTCAGCGAGTTAATAAAGCCTTCCTATAGAAGACGGGATTTCTGAGCCCCAGTTTCTCAGTCCATAAAACGGGATTAATAAAGCTTTCGCCACTTCCTCATTGGGTTGCATGAGGATGAAAGGAGAGAATCGGCATCCCCAAGCGCCATGCAGTCATAGGATTTGGCGTGATCCCCACGTACTCCATTGCCTTCCATCGCGCTGGCTGGCATCCCGACCTATGGGGTGGTCTCTGTCATCAACCCACATTTGGTTGTATGTGGCCCTCCCTGCTTTCCGCAAGCCTAACCAAGGCAGAAAGGGGTGGGGGGAGGGGAGGCTTTTCCTAGTGTTGCTTGAGGACCTATCCAGGGCAGATGGATCTGATTCAATCTTGGAGACTTACCAATTATGGCGTGGCCAGCCCCACACCCCACCCCCACTGTGAGATTCTTTCTGAGACTCCCTCCTTTAATTTCTCCCCTTAGGGCTTGAGACTCTACCCCTGCCAACTACCCAAGGCTTCTAATCAGCATTTAAGCAGAGAACTCAGGACAATAACGAAAAACGGAAGGAGTGACTATTCCACCCTTAATCTCTGCTGCTTTAGTGAGGCAGCAGAAAATAGATCTTACCCCAGGTTAGTGGCATCCCCCCCATCCCAGAGTGCTGTGGGCTCAGTCCCTAGAGCCTTCCGGCACCAGCAAGGGACGTCTAAGGGAGTCTCCAGAAGCCGGGCTGTGCCTAGACTGCTGGCAGTGTGGCAGGTCCATGGCCTGGGTTCCCACATGGTGGCTGGTTCCACCTGTTCCTTGACCCCACTGCCATTCAAATGCAGTCCCTACAGCTCCCATCCTGGCTCCCCCCTTCCGGCTTGCTCCCAGAAGCCTGTTTGTGCATTCCTGTTCTCTCTCCAAGCACGTGTGGCTGGGCCTTTCTGGAGCATTTACTCTCAGCCAACAGCACTAGTGGCTTCTACAGCAGGCTTCCCAGCAGCTGAGGGTTGGGGTGATGAAGACCCAGAGAGAAGGCAGGAAGACCGATAATCTGGGCAGAGGAGACTTGGGGTCCAGGTAGACGGAGGAAAGGGTGGGCAGTGGAAGCCAACTGGGAGGGAGCCCATACTCAAGAATGAAATGGGGGAACAGAAGAAAGAAAAGAAGAAAGCCAGGAAAGGTGGCAGGAAACGAGAGGGCTGTGGAAGCCAACCCTGCAGCTCGCTCCATCAGTGTTTCTACTCCTGACTTTGGTTAGATGGGTATCAAGAAGGGCAAACCTGTTCTCTAGGTGTGTAGGCCCTGGAGCCAATGATGGTGTCATTAAGTGGTGCACTTGGGGGCCTCAGTTTAACTTGTCAGTGCCTACCCCTGATTGTAGGTGTTCAGGTGTATATCCCCATCTAGGGGATTCTTCCATCCTTTATCCCTCATCCCAGACTTTGTCCCTGAAAAGCCTGAGTGATCCCCTGGCAGCCACTGTGCTCTCTGGGACTTCAGAACCTGCCTGGGTTAGGATCAGAAACTTAGCATTACCAGGGACCTTAGAGGACATCCGGTAACCCTTCATTTTACAGAGGGGAAAACCGAGGCCCAGAGGACATAAGGCTTCGACCAAGATCGCAAGAGTCAGAGCTGAGGGTTGAACTCAGACCTTCTGACTCCAAAATCAGCACTTTGCCCACTGCGCTACAAAGTGATGGGGGCGAGGCAGAGCCTCAAAATTGCACTGCTTTACATTTCTCTAATTCTTAGCGATTTGGAACATTTTATATTTGGCTGTTAATAGCTTTGCTTTCTTCCTTAGAAAACTGCCTGCTTGTATGCTTGTTACAAAGCGAGGGAGTGTCTTAAGGCTGAATCCGAGTTTTGTTGACTCCAAGCCCTGGCCTCTTCACTACCTCTATTCACTGCCCCTCCCCCCTCCATGTGCCCTGGCGACTTTGCCGTGCTCTCTTTTGTTAATGATTTCTGGGCCACCTGAGGATGGAGGCTGGGGCTTTCCCCCATCAGCCTCTTTTAGGTAAAGGATGGGAGCTTGTCTCTCAGTAAGGATGCCTCAGTCGGGGGGTCTGCCTGGATCTGGAAACCCCAGGTATTCTACAGTCCCTAGGCTCCGCAGTCAGCGAGGGCTTTTCCTTTAGCTGGACAAATGTATCTTCTCTCTTGATGACGGTCTTCATTTGCATCTCCCTCTGGAGGACAATAGGGCGCACTGTGAAATTGTTTTGTTACCAAGCAGCAGCCTTTTCTTACAAATTGTCAGACATCTTCTCCCCTCTCCCATGTCTCATGTATTAGGAAGTCACCCCAAAGCCAACCCGCCAGCCTGCACTGACGTCTGCAGCTCTGGATGACACCAAAGAGGCCCACACCCCTCCCATCAGCCCCCAGGGACTGAGCTGCTTCTCACTGTGTCCTACCCAGGGGCTGAAGGAAGGGGAATTGGGACTGGCCATTGGGTAGAGCCAGCCCCAGCATGGGAGGAGTGCCTTCACTGGGGGGTCTGGGGAGCATCAGGAAGACCCCATTACACACACACACACACACACACACACACACACACCAGACAGCCAGAGAGGAAAGGACATGTGGTCAACACGTAAAACATGGCTAGAACATGAGCTGACTTCAATCTAAGCAAGATGGCCTGAAGCAGCATCAAAACTCCCCCTCCTATGCTTACTACCTTGATAAGTGACCTTGGATAAGTCTCTGTCTCTCTCTGGGTCACTTTTCTTAGATACAAGCTGAGAAGGGTTCACTCCATGACCTCCAAGATCTCTCTTGACTTGAGATCTGATTATTATCACACATCAGGGCAGAAGATAATGGCTCCATAGCCTATGCATTCCAGTAGCGTTCCCAAGATGGGAGGGGAAGTTGGATGGTGAAAAATGTGAGGGAGGATGAAGACAAGTGTCCCACTGGAGGCATGTTCTACAATCCCCATAACCTGGAGGAACTGCATCAGTGTGGTTGCAGATCCCTACAAGTGTCAGAGTAAGGGAAAACTTCCAAACCAAGACCAGTGGAGCAGGCTGCCCCTGAAGGAAAGGGCTTCCCATCCCTGGGGGATTCAGGCTGGGGAGGGGATGGAAAGTCCCACTGAGCTCCCTTGCAGCACCAAGATGCTGTCACAGGAAGTCCTTATTGACCCATTGAGGGCGGTCCTTGGGGGGTCAGGGAAAGAAAAAGAACAGTGTGGGCTGGAGGAGTCTGGGGAGGTTCCCCGATGGAGGTGGCATGAGAGGCTTGCTGCCTCCTCCTCTCCCCACTTCCCCACCTCCTCCTGCTTCCTCTCTTGCTTTTCTTTCAGGCCTGGGCTTCCTATCTATCACCTTCCTTCCTTTCTTTATCCTCAGTATGTCTCCCCTAGTCCTGCCTCCTACAGGATGCTTTCTGGGGTTCAGACTTCTTTTTTCATTGCCTCAGTCTCACTTTGGTGGGCTAAGCTTTCCCTACCCAGGGCATCTCATTTGGGTTGTGCTTCATCTATCTGGGCAAGCAGTGCCCATTGGGTCTGAGAAGGAGAAGTCAGAAGAGTTCCTTCCTCAGCTTAAAGATGATTACTCCCCATCTGCCCAGAATCACAGTGTGTGAGAGTTGGAAGGGACTTTGGCAGCCTCTAGTCCACACTATAGGGACCCTCAATAGAACTTTCCTGATGAGTGCTCAACCCACTGCTTCTTGAAGACATCCACGGAGGAGGTGCTACCTCTCCAGGCAGCCCATGCTACCTAGGGACACCTCTATTAGTTAGGAAGTTCTTCCTGACCTCGAGCCTCAATCTGTCTCATTGCACAAGACATCCAGACTCCAAAATCATCCAAGCTTCCAAAGTCCAAGGTTAGTGATCAGTCTAGTGGGTTTCCTTGCCAGAATTGACCTAGCTCAGATGGACACCAGCCCCGTGGCCCTCATAACCTAATCTGGCTTGGCAGGATCCATGGCTTCTCTGTACACACTCCCTACATCCCAGAGCAAGTCCTTGAGAAGCAAAAGAATGAAATGAGCACCTCATCCCTCCTTTGTCTTTCTCTTCTATTCCTAACTCCTCAGCTTTGCTGTTTCACTCCTGTCTCTGCTCCAGATTACCCAGAGACACACTGGGCACAGGTCTAGGGTCCCTAGGGTCTAAGGCTTTAAG